TGGCTCCCAGAAAATCTGAATGATGAATTCCACATCTTCACATGCTATATGTTTGCATAGTTTCTATCTTGAATGTTGCGTCAACAGCACGTGTGCTTGGCATGTCCCCCCCCCCCTTTAAAATGCTTCGCCAATGCATCGCGATGGTCGAAAAAACTATCGATAGTGGTATCGATGCATCGATCTATCGTGACAGCCCCTATTTGTGACCGTTACGAGGACTTCGTCAACAGGAAAGGGGGGGGGGGACATGCCAAGCACACGTGCTGTTTACGTGATCATTCGAGAGTTGGCACCCATATATTCATATTTCCATTTTGCTACAATATCTTACCAAAGCCTGGCTCAACTTTACGGTTTGCTTTTTCATTTTTCAGTGAGGGCTTCCGTAGCAATCCATTTCCATCTTGTTCCGCTATTATTCATTTTCTTCCAACTCAGGTGATGATTCTCTGTTGCTGTTGGAAGAAGTTGCAGGATATCTTCTGCACACCACTTTTATGCCTCCTTCGTAATGGAATGAATGATCAAGGGGAGTGAAAAGGAAGAGAACTGGTAGAGTACCTTGAGCAGCATTTCGTTTCCCTAGTAAAGGGGTGACGGAGGGTTCCTAGGAAAAAGTTCCGGCTGGAAATATTATTGGAGAAGGTTTGTGATGGACTTTTCTGGCAGGTGGATTGCGTGCAGGAAACGTAACTGGTTCCAATCGAGAATTATAAAGTAGGCATTTTCCGACAGGAAAAGCAGAAATCCAGCGTGGAATCCAGCTGGAAACGGCATACCAAATTACGATTATTTCTGGTTGGAAATGCTGCAGTTCCTGGTGGAAGTGGCTAACATTTACTGATGGAAAGCTTGCAGTTTCTAGCTGGAACTTTTAGCTGGGTTCTCATAAATCTGTTTTTAGGTGTGATTAACGGAGCAAATCAACCGAGTAAAGTGGAAATTACAAATTAAATCAAATAACCAATTTGATAAAGAAAATATTGGAGGCATGGTAAGATGTATTAGGACATTTCCTTTTGGCTCCCAGAAAATCTGAATGATGAATTCCACATCTTCACATGCTATATGTTTGCATAGTTTCTATCTTGAATGTTGCGTCAACAATTACAATCCAGATACTTCATGATTTGCTGTTCATTAATGACTTATATAAAAATGAACTATACTTGTAATGAAGTGCTGGTTAAGTTCGAAAGAAATTGATCTTTATCATTGGAGGGTAAAGTGGCATCCAGAAAAATGAACAGAAACCATGAACAATCTGTCTAAAAGGTAAATAAATGCTCTGAATTCTGAAGAGAAATTCTTTATTATAAAAGCATAACTGTGACAATGACCTTCATCCTCCCACATCATCTTCATTTCAAGACTGATCAAGGATAGTGATAGCTGTGTCAGATGGATGAATGGGAGGTGCTGATGGGGACCTGTCTAAGATATGAGAAGCATCATCCAATGAGTGAGATGTAGTCTTGAGAGTCTCTGCTGCTGGTATGTCTTCAGACTTCTCAAGTAATTTGGAGGTACAGCATCCAATGAAAATCCCCCCAAGAGGAGCTGCAATCAGGATGGCCATAACAGCAATTGTGAGGATATCACGACCCCATTCAATGTGCTGGGGATCTTGATCGTGCATGGCCTCAGAAATGTCAAGAGCAGTGGGGCCAATAGCAGCTTGCACTGTGGCCTTGGGCAGCCATGCAATTGCTGTGAACACCTTTTCTTTTAGATTGAAGTAACCACCTGAAACAGCAAGAAAAGCACCACAACACCGGAAAAAGAGACCACTAAAGAGGACTATAAGGCCATAGCCAACAGTGGCAAGTTTGACTTGACTGAAGTCAATCTCGGTCCCAATGAGACCAAAGAGGAGAGGTTGGAAGATGAACCAAAAGTAGCTGAAGATGAGTGAGACTGGATTGTCATCATAGTAGCCCTGCCGTCGCCACCCAATGCTAGCTACAAATGCTAATGCTAGTACTCCCAAAGCACCAGCTGCATGCATCTCAATTAAGATGCTTCCAAAATATGATGAAATGCCACCAATCATCAACAATGTAGAACGAATCTCTGCTAAGGCAAACTTGTTTTTGTGATTTGGGATGTACCAGAAAATTAAACCAAGGATAATGCCATAGAGAAGTCCAACAAAGACTTCTACAAAGGGCATGAAGATCTTTTTGATAATAGAACCTTGAGAGAAGGTGATACCAAGGAAGACCACAAAAGCAGAGATGGCAAAAACATCATCTAGGGATGCTGCTGCAAGAAGCAGTGTTGGGATACCCTTGTTGACACCATAGCCCTGTTTTTGTATGGTAAGCATGCAGGGAACAACAACAGCAGGAGAGACAGCAGCCAATACAAAGCCTAGCATGAAAGCCCATGTCCAAGGGAGACCAAGAATGAGATTCGACAAACAAGCAACTGAGATTGCCTCAATGGTGCAAGGAACAAATGCTAATCGAATCACGAGCAGGCTCAAACGCTGCAGATGCTCAGGATTCAGTCCAAGCCCAGCACGGATGAGAATAACGATCAAGGCAAGGCTACGAGTTTTCCCAGACCAGTCCTGCTGGAGTGGGTGTTTCATCCAGCCACTGTGACGCTCCAGGTTACCCAAGATCACACCAGCAACTAACATTCCAAGGAGTCCTGGAAGACTGGTAAACTCTGTGAGCCAACCAGCAAGGAGACAAGTGAAGAACAGGATGTAAAGCTTGAAGAGATTCCCATTGAGAAGCATCTCATGACCAGCAAGACCATATGCAGCCAACCAAACTAGTGGACAGGCCAAGAAAAGGGTATACACACGACCCAGATTGATTCCAGGTGAGCAGAGTAAGTTGTAACACAGACGCTCCCATCGTGTTGCCTCAGGAGGGAGTGCCCTGTCACCATGCAGCAAGCACTCATACCAGTGTGAAGTTCTCTCTTTGTCATGATGTTCATCTGAAGGTGAGGGTTCAATCTGATCTTGCATTGAGAGGTTGAAGGGGTAGTCAGAAATGGGATGTTCAGCACTCACAACAGAGTGGAGGTAGCAGGACACAGGACATCCTCCAGTACATGACAGATATCTTCTGGTTTCACATCCAGTGCAAGTAGTCCCAAGATCAATCTAAAAATATATCATTTCAAGCTATGATCAATTAATATCCTTTACTGAGCAACATGAAAACCAAGGGTTGCAGAACTTTGACCAAGAGGCATGTAAACTCTCCATCCAATTGCTATTAGAACATAACATGAGGAATTACATTATTAGGATTATAAGAATGTTCAGAATGTACATAACAGACAAGATCTGGTTTCAGGCCTCTGTTGAAATTCAAGCAGAAGTTTTATCACTGAGTGTTAACCAAATGGTATGGAATGAAGTCATTTTGATGAAAGTTGAAAGTATAGGACTGAGTATGACTGCATATGAAGCCTAAGAAAGTTTCAATATTGCAATAAGGCTCTTCAAAGAGAAATATTTTCAAACTCCCAAGTGCTAGTGGGATAAAGCATAAGGGAGATCTAAACATTCGTCAGACAATTTTTCATTTTTACGTTTGTGCCACTACTGATTGGTCCAGTCATTAATATGAAGTGCAGTCAATACAGGAAATTTCACTAACTTGACCTCTTTGAATGAGGTCTGTTTATCAGATATTTATTGGATAGGGAGGGTTTATGTGTTATTGAGTCATTATGAGTGCTGACCCCAATTGAGGAGTTCTCTGGAAAAAGGGTGTATGTGCCCATAGATCCATATGGACACATACGCCCTTTTTCCAGAGAACTCCTCAATTACTCCAATGGAAGTGGTGGCAAACAAGCCTTCTGAACCAGCCTTGAGCACCTGGTTAAGTTAGCAAAACTGCCTAGCAAGATGATGCTTAGCTTTGCTTTACTGTACAGTTTTTGGTTCAACAATGGTGCAAATGTCTATATCTACATAAAGTAGGCTAGAGCACTGACAGGAATACTCAAGGAGTTGATGCCTCCTATTCAAAAGTATCATTGGAATCCTGTTGACTAGGAGTAGTTTTAAGCTAGACATTTACAAAATGACCTTTCAGCATCCGATGAACTTTTGATGTCAAATTTAATTTGACATCGAAGTATTGTAAATAAAAAAAATATATATATTGTTAATGAGTCTTTTCAACTTGGCATCAATTCATCATGAATGACTACAGTATATGCATTCTGAACAGTTGCCAACAAGTCTTTTGACACAAAGTTGTGCACTGGAATTTTCTATTTGTCTCATACTCCACAGCATCATCTCATCTGATGCTGTGGTGAGCCTTAAGCAAGAAATTTCCCCATATGACATATGACATACATTCAATGTCCATGTGGGCTGCCCACTTAAATTGCATTCACAGACAGCATAAATTAAAAAAGGAAAACAACAAAATCAGTTTAAGGCATTCAGTCTTCAGGCCCAAACTACCTCACAGAGCTGGATATTTCAATTGCAAATGGATACCTGTCACCCTAGAAAAGAAACTTTCTCAAATTGACACATTTGGCAAGGATCCTATAAGCCCTGGCATTTGCATTGATCTTGCAGAATATGCATAATAATGATACCAAATATGAGGTGCATAATGGAGTATTCTCCAAATTTCCAATTTGCTGCTACAAGTAGCAGAGGTACTCCACAAGACAAAACAATGGTAGCAAGGATAGAAGTTGTAAGAAGCTGGCAGCATGCCATATAGGTGAGGATGCAAAGAGGAGGAGCATGAACAGACCTGAATCCAACAGGGTGAATGATGATGTCAGCATCCAATGCAAATTGATAGAGGTCCCGTTGGTTTTCACTGAGGAGTTCTGTCTGCATGAAATCCTCAAGAGCAGCCCTTTGCTCACCTCTTGACAACAGTGCTGCCTGATGCATCCCTTCTTACTTTTAACCTGTCAATATGAAAAGACAAGCAAATGTGAACCTGATTCAGTTCAGAATGGATTCACCACATTCATCCTCAGAATTGTATGCTGACGAAGAAACAACTGCCTGTATCCCCCATAAGGAAGGAACATCAGCTCAAGTTTCAGCTTTTTGTGCAACACAAAGAATGGTTTTAATGCCTTTGAAAGTTATTAACCCTTTGCACTTGCCAGTTGGCCCTCCACTGACAAGCAGACAATCTTTGGAGAATGTTTTACAAAGCATCATGAAGTAAAATTTATAGAATGAAATTTTACTTCATGATGCTTTGTACATGCACAGAAAATTACTTTGAGAGTTACAAACATAGAACAGTTTAAATGGCTGGAAAATAAAATTGAGCTGCTGGGGCAGTCCACATCATTTAAATCTGAGAGCAAAGAGTTAAAGTGCTATCAAAAGAAGAATAACAAGAATAAGGAATATATGAGAAAAAAATGAGCAGGTAAAAATCCACTTTGAAAAAATTATTTTTAAGCAAGTCAAAGAAAGAATGAATTATGGGAAGAAAGCATAGATTTGGAAGGCTTTGAAAGGGAGAATATAAAAAAATACATTGACAGTAAGTCAATGTCAATGCTGATGTCAATACTGATGTATACAGTCAAAAACCTTGTATGATATAGGCCAAAATTTCTGTAACGTGACAAAAAGGAAATCAAATTGATTCGCTCATCATCACATTTTGATTTATTTCAATTACTCATGGATGAAGAGTAACTTTTGCACAGAATTTGTGATATGGCATGTTGCATTTTCATGCAGAATGATGCTGTCTGGAGCCTGGAGTTATGGAAGATTCTGATAGCTGAACAAAGTTGCGTGGACAGGAGGTCCTCGCCGAATGAATTCAGAGGCCTATTGTTATTGTGACTGATGAGAAGAATCTGACATATACTGTAGGGTGACATGCACCAAATTCGTTTAACTTTTAACCGATTAGTTTTCATGATGGGAGTCTATGGGAATGTTAAACTTATTTCCATCGGGGACCATTGTGAGATCAGATTAGTTTAGCTTAAACGGATCTGGTGCATGTCACCCATTATCTCTATTCATTTTTTTTTTTTACTCCATTCGTCCAAATGCTGTTCCTTCGGCTCTCACCCTGTCCTCCCCCCATTCGAGAAACCTATTTTAGTATAGTCAGAAAACTTCTGATTCTACTCTTGAGGCCTTGAGCTAGATCGTTTACATACACCACAAATAGTAGCTGTCCCAATGTAAAAGCCACGTAGACTACTACGCTCGCTTGCCCGAAAAATGCCGGCTCCTCATTAATTCTCTGCTCTCCTCCCCAAAACCAGCTACTCACCGTTATCCAGTTACTCAACCTACCTTGAAACCCGTGGGTCTTCAACTTTGCCTATAACTTCTTGTGAGGAATGGTATGGAAAGCTCCCACTCATCCTTCACCCAATCGTAAAATTCATGCAAGTTGGTGAGACGGCTCGTTGATTCTTAAAGCCGCGCTGAGATTCCCGGACGAGCGAGTGCACCTCGAATTCCTCGAGGAAGGTGCAATCCCTTAGGTTGTTTTCCACGATCATCCCTAGAATGCTTGCGAGATTCACGGGTGTACTTGCCCGGATTGCTCTCATCTCCCCCCTTAACGATGGGTATGACGTTCACTTGTTTCTAGTCCCTGGAATCTCGCAAAATGCTATTCTCGAATACGATTCTCAATGGTATCAATACATCCTTCACGAGTTCCTTGATGGCACTCGGGAGAATCCCATCGGAGACGGTTGCCGCGCTTGCCAGCAGCTTCCCTTTCCCATTCGTCATATTCCTCTCGGATGGCAACATCTTCGAAGCACGCCGAGGTGACATGCCATCGTTGGTGCTTCGTCGAATTCACTCGTAAACATGGAAGCAATGAACTCGTTCGATATTCGGCCGTGCCCCCACCATCTGCAATTAATTCGCCCTCGTCGTCCTTAAGGGATTCGATCGAATGCCGACTCCTGCCGCTGACAATGATAGAAAGTCTTGGGATTGTCATTGGCATCGACATCTAGCCACTCCACTCGCTCCGTTTAGCCCACCTTCAACAATCTCACCATAATTCGATATTCCTTGTACTCCACTTGTTCACCCGCGCGCTTGTACAAATCCCATTCCTGATTCTTACTTTTGATCAACGTCTTAATTTTATCTGTAAACCAGACTGGCCATCTCTTCCACTTTTAAGGGATGCAAACCTTCATAAAGCATCGCATTCACTGCGTTTAATAAACTGCTCTTCTACAGTTAGTTCACATAACCTTCCTCCCCTCTCGATCGAGACCCGTAACGCATTCTTGTAGCCTACAGAAATCCGTTTTCCTTTCGTCATATGAATCCTTCTTCGCCCTATCGTTCTACCTCGTCCGTTTGATATCCCATGTAATCATTCAAAATCTAAGCCCCCCAATTCGGCAGCGTTGCGTCGGGGGGCCAGGGGACACGTGCCCCGCACTTTTCAGAAAAATAAGCATAGGGTGACCAGGGCAGTAGTGGAACACTTTTGAGTGGATCTGCAGGGAATCCTTCTCTGGAGAGAATCACTCATTTTGACTTGTCATCAATTGCAAAAACACTGAGCTGAATATTATCTACGAAAATGTTACCCAAAGAAGTATATAAGTCAGCGTCGTTTCTCACTAATTACATAACTCTTTTATTAACCTTGGAAGTACAACGGTGGACCATGGAAAGACAGTAGTGGACCGGCTGGACCGCTCCCAGCAGACTGATCTATATTATTACTGCCAGGTTCTACATCTATTTATTGGTTTTCTAAAGACAAGTATGAAAAAACGAAAGTCAAATGCGATAAGGAAAGTCAATTGTGTTGCTGTGCTGGATGTCGGATATTAGGAAAAAGCATGTTAGACTTAAGAAAATCAGATGTGAAAGTCGAATTTATTGGTCGTGCAGGGAGACATGTGCCCTCTCGTTGCATTTTAATTCTCGTTACACACGACTACATATGAAACTTCATGAATGCATTTGTATGTGGCGTCATTAAAGCATTAATCGTACTGGCAACGTTTCATGTCAGATAATTAAGAATGTAAGTTAATGACTACAAGAATAGATGCACATATAGGTTTTCCAAGTCAAATGTGGTAATAAGAAAGTCAAATGTGTGGCTGTGGTGGATGTTGGATTTTAGGGGAAAGCATGTTCGACATAAGGTAAGTCAAATGCGACAGTCGAATTTCTCGGCCATACCAGGAGACGTGTATCCTCTCGTTGCATTTCCGTTGCACACGGCTCCATATGCACATTCATATGTGACCTCAAAATGCTTTTTCCACCATTTTCCTTAGAACTTGAACTCCTCTCCCTAATTTTGATGGCAACACGGTCCACGGACCAATCCTGGTAATAATAGCATACATTATTGGCATCTATTCTTGCAATCGATGACATTCATTCTTCATGATCTGATATGAAACGTCTGTACGATAAAGGCAATAGTGGCGTCACATGCAAATGCATTGGTGAAAATACATAAGGAGCCGCGTGTAACATAAATACTTTCACTGTCGCATTTGACTTTCTTATTACCACATTTGACTTACAGTAGAAAACCCATTAGTTCACTCAGTTCAGACAGTCAATTCCCTACCGCTGTCACTATCTAAGAAGAAGCACTGTGGACATTGGTACTCAAAATCTTCATCCAACTCATCATCATCAATGTCAGGAAAGAAACTCAGTCATCAATCATTCAACAATGATTGATCTAAATTGGGCGTATGGTCCACTACTATCAGTTGATCCACCAGTAGTGGACCACCCCCGGTCCACTACTGTATAAACATGTGTTCATGAGCTTATTCAATCAGACCTATACATTTACGATGTCGAGCTGCAGGATAACAAAGTGGAGCCTCGTTCTGAGGCCATACAGCCACAGGATAGTAGTGGACTGGGGAGGTCCACTATTACCCAAGATGGCTAACTCAGGCATACAGTAGTTGACCACCCCATATTTATTGAAACGAGGCATTAAATCATATGACTTTCGACTCTAACATGATCTGTGACGAGTCATTACAGTAACTGATATACAAAATTGACTCAACGAAATCAATTACCTACCTTCAATGAGTTTTTTGTGAGACACGTGCTGAAGTTCGAAAACTTGTGAATGCTGCACTTTTGGGAGGGAAATTAAGAGGAAAAACTTAGAGACTACAAAGGATCCTAGATGTCGCTGACTTTCTGTTAACCCTTGAGGGGAACACTACTTATTAAAGCTAACATAAGGGAAGATTGCAACTGATTGCTTTTTGTGCATCTTATAGCAGTAAAACTTAGGAGTGGTCCACTACACCCCTGGTTACCCTAGAAAGACGTATGAAATGCCTGAGAACAATGACCTACAGATGACCTGTAGAGCCCCCGCCCCCCTCCCCCTTTTTCCATCCACGCTGCTCTTATGCCTCGATCTATCTCGTGCTTGAACATCGACCACCATCCGCTGCGAAAACTGCATCCAATAAAATCGGGATTTCGAATTAGTTCCAGAAGGTGCTGCACTTCGAGATGTTCCTGAATCGCATTGAAAACCTTCAGCTTCCCCCCTCTCCCACTTACCAATCTGTATTAACACGTTAAAATCAACAAAGAGCAAAACCTCCTGAGAATCCTCGCCGATACAATTCAAGAACGAATAAAATGTGATGTTATCCTCTCACTGACACGGTTAACAAGGAATGGCGCAATATTATAGGGTGACAACTCCTACAGTAAACGATAATGAATGCAAATAACGTCAATTAGTTCAACTAAAAGTTATGCAACCATGCTTACTAGGAGATTTAGTGCGCACAAATTGAAAGTTTCTATCTTCTTAAATGCATTAGCAAGAGAGTGAGAGGCGCGATAGGATTACGTTTTTTCTAATCAATCAACACTTGCGAGTAACTGCAGTGGACCCTCTAAGTATGGGTTGGGAAGAAGGGGAGCTCTGTGCTCAAGCTCTTGTATTAGCAAAAATAAAAAGAATCTCATTCTGTCGTAGCGAGAAATTTGAATAGAAGTAACGCTTAGGTGGCAAAATGGGTAAAGAAAGCTAAAGCAGCATAACCCGTGAGATGTAAAAATAGTGAAGAAATGAATAGAAAGTGACACCAAAGAGCGTGCTAACAAATTACATAAAATAAGAGCAAAGTCAAGCCTAATAAGACAGAGGATTAGGGATGTGACAAAGAACTCAACTCACAGGGAATATGTCTGTTGAGAAACAGTGAGAAAATATCTGAAAATGAATTCAAGAGAAAGACTCTGAAGTGAAGCCGAACTTCAAAACCGAACTGTAATGCAAAGCTAAAAACAGATGATTTCTTCATGTGATTTAATAGATGTTTGGGCCAACTGTGTGATGTTTACTGATGCATCTTCCTTTTAGCAGTTGTATGTTCCAAATCCAAAAAATTACTCAAGTTCACAGGAGACCAAAGTGCTGCCTCAGCAAAAATAAATTCAGTCTGCACATCCTTGCATTGTTCATGGTTTGACAAGGCTTCGTTTCTCAGAAAACATTTGTGGATTACATCGTGGAAATTCCATTTAAAAAAAACCACACCAAGTGAAGCCTATGAAAACGAAATGTGAGAACTGGGTCTTCATGAAAATGCAAGCTTTTCCTGATCCTGGAAAGGCAGAATTTCATCAAGACGGTGTAGGTACTCACACTGCTCAGAATATCACTGAAATGGCTGACCAAAACCTTTCACCAAACTCACCAGACCTCAATCAAATCGAAAATCCCTGGAGTATTTTGTCTGACGGAGTTCATAATGATCCTGAGCCAACGACGATGGACAACTCGACAAATCGACTCACTGACATGGAATTGAGTGGCCTTGGATGTTATGCAGAACCTTGATCACTCTTTGTCGCGAGGAATGGAACAAGTTCGATGAACTAAGAACTATATACTGCTATATGCTCTATACTCTATAACTATATGTTAAATCAAAGGTGAGTCTTGGCTGTCTCTCTTTTAACAATCAAAATCGTTCACGATTTAAGTTGTCACCCTATATTAAATTGCAAGCAAGTAAAAAAATTTTTTAAATCAGCCATCAATCACAAACTTACCAGATAGTCATGTATACGTATTAAATAGCACTTGACATATAAATATAGACGTGGGAGATAAATGATATATGAGTAGGCTGATTAAATGATCTTCTCAAACGTGAAATACTCGTGGATTTTGGGAGCCCAGAAAGGAAAGAAAAATCGGAGGATTGGAGAGGGCCCAAAAATCATCTTCTGGAACAAGGGAGGTTGTGGCAGATACTTGTATGGATCCATCTTCTGAAAATGCTTCATGCTCAACCAGAAGGCAAAGTCTTGCATTGTATCATTTGTTTTGACCAGATAGACGTGGAAGGCAGCAAATAGGGCCAAGGCCACAGCCATGAAAAGCGCCATGTTGAACACCACGAGGACAGTGAACTGAGTGCTCGTGACAACATCCGATACAGTGAGACCATACAGAGCAAAACAGAGCAGGTAGTACCAACCTGAAAAGGGGTACTCGATACGCATGAATTGGATGCAGTAGTACATGTACGTGATGGAGGCAAGGGTGGTATAAACCATGATGAAAATGAAGTTGGCATGATTGAATTGCCCGATGCAAAGGCCCAGTAAGAAACAGTGGTGATCGCGTCGCCACACACAGTAATCACAGATGGGACAATGGTGGACACGTAGCGGTCGTGAAATGTGGCACACGTGACACTGCGATTTCAGGCACTGTTGAGGCAGTGCTTTCAGGATTGGGAAATTCTCATTCACATTGGAGCGATCTCGCTGTAGCTGGATCCAGTTGGAGATTATTTCAAAGTCATAAAATACCAACCAGAACATGATCACTGAATCGCTGTCGAAATAGCGGTACAGCATCATCCCAAATTTGTTGTAGATGTAGATGACGCTAAAGAAGGAAGCTGGAGCAGCAAATCGGAGAATAAAGAAGAATGGGACACGCATCCACCACGGTCGATATACATTCTTTCTGTGCCTCCATTGGGTCTCAAATTTTTCTACTACAGCAAACTGAGGGTCTTCATCATCCAGAGAGATAAGCACAGTTGGCAGCTCCTTGGGCATGCAGGCGGGTGTGGGTTAGCTCGAAAATGAATTTACGGGGTTCAGGGGTGAGAGAAGTATGGGGTCACTGGAAAGGGGTGAGAATGAAATGAGGGGAAAGAAGAAAATGGGTCCTGCTGGTATTTCCAAAACTCTGTTCGCAAGCCGTGAGTTTTGCAAATGCCTCCTGGAATTCTACAGGGGCACTTGATAGAAGCCTTGACTCAAAAATCTTTTACTGAAGTAGGATAAAATACCCAGTGATGGGCCACAACACAAAAATTTCAAACAGCTAAGCTTCCATAGCAAGCATACCCCTGTAGTGACAAACGCTACCAACATGCAAGCATATACACACTTTAGAGGTGTTCAGGCTACAAATACCTGGTAATTGGAAATTTCCTGCGTCGTGGCCCATCATTGGGTATTTAACCCTAACTCTCATGAAATTTCAACGGGCTGAGGAAGCATCCTATCAATTGAAAATGAAATCATTATTCATGGTAGAAGTGCTCTTCACTGTGGCTATTCACTATTGTTCAATTTCTGGTAGGGCTGAGTTCTGTATGGGCACACCAGGTTGCATATAATGGAGAAAAATAAGAGGTAAAATTCCCATTTTCAGCTACTGGTGTTACAGTCAGAAATATAGGAGCGTGTAATCAGCAATAACAGTGCCAATAAAGATTGCTGCTACATTAACTCTGGAATGAGACAATTACCATTGACCCATAGAGATGGGATGCATCCACAGCCCCCCCCCCCCCCCCCCCCCCCCCCAC